CGTGCTCAGAGCTCAGGCCAGTGCAGAATTCATCATGGAGGAATCTTGGACTTACAAACATCCAGATGACCATTTCAAACTCTGCAAATTCTACACAGCCCCTTCAAACTCTGCAGTAACAGAGGAGTGTAAATGCTCTCCTGGACTTGGTTAAAAAAATAGAGTTGGAAATTATAGTAGATGCATGAGAAATAACAATAAAGCCAGGTAAGCTGATCCATTGTCTTCGGACGTGGAAGGCCAGGGTTCTTAGGTTCTTTGTAACTTTGCACTCTGATGAGCGCCAGCCCTTGTCTACAACTCCAGAGAGAAAAACCAGCTAAGTGATGACAAAATTAGGGGAGTAGAGGGGGGTAAATTGAATCTTCAATTATGGAAAGCTATTTACACTAGGCATCAGATAGCATCATCTCCATTCACTGAGCAGCAGAATTCTTCTGCCATTAACCAGCATGTCGGATTTGAGATTCTTTATCTTTCCCTGACACTTTTCAATGTATAGCCTTTATAATAGCTCTCCACTACATTAAATCAATACCCAGCATGGCCCATCTATTCATGTTGTGCTAAAGATTATAAATTGAAGTCCTTTTATTAATACTTCAGCAGAAGTCCCTTTTAAGAAAAATATTAAAATTAGACATTAAAACTGCACATTTTATAAAACTAATTGGCTTTCAGTTAAAATTTAAAGAAACAGTCAAATAAGTGCATGTATTCCTTGTTTCTGTATTTTTGCAGCAATGGCTTGATTAAAACAAGCCCCTTTAAACATCTCCCCAATACTCAGGTAAAGAATACAAAAGAAGCGGAAATTCAGCATTTCAGCATCAAAAGCAGTTCCTCCCCTGAGCCCTGGGGAGCTGGGACAGGGCGCATGGCCAGGGGAGACCTCGGCCCCCGGCAGCCTGAGGGCCTCCCGGCCGGCACTCCCCCCCCCGCCCCGCCCCCCCCCCGGCGGCCCTGGCCAGGGCTCCCCACGCAGCTCCTCTCCCTCCTGGCCTCCGGCCCTCCCTCCCTCTTTCTGTGCAGCTGAAAATGTGAATGTCCCCAAACTCAGCATACCACAGTGGAGCCTCCCGGGCCCAGAGTCAAAGACCCCGGAAACTCCCACACCTTGATGTCACATGACATGCCACTGTTATTACCCGATAGCCGGCGAATCCCAGGACACACATTGCTCAGCCTTGCCTCGGCACCAGACACGGCTGGAGCCTGCTCTGCCGTCACCCAGCAAACCTGGGGGAACTGGCAGACCGTAGCCTGGCATCTCTCTGCTGTGGGGTGGTTTCCTGTGCTGGGCCAGAAATTCCGAGGGAGAATCGAAAGAGAGAAACAGAGCGGGCGGCTGCGTAGTTCACTGGCCGCAGCACCGGCCGTGCTGTGCAGGTGAGCTGCAGGAGGCGGCCCACGGGTGAGGGTCGGCCCAGCGCAGCCTGGGACGCCGCGCTCCAGTACCCAGCCGTGGGCACCACACCTCCCCCACCAGGGACCCAGCGCAGGAGAGCCGGACCACGGAGTCCTGAAACCGCAGGGGTGACTTCTGAACAGAAGCCGGGAAGAGCAATGTGGCTGTTGGGCCAGCGGTGAGAGGGGGCTGGTCAACTCCCAGGTGATCCTGAGAGCAGCACTGCTGCTTCCAGAATATTCTGTGTTCACAGCAGACTCAGGAGGGGACAGGAGATCGGGGAGGGAAGATGAAGAGTTCAGGAGTGCTCAGAGAAAGACGTCCGTCCATTCCTCAGACCACCTTTCAGCCACCCAGTCTACGCCAGAGCGGCCTGCCTCTCTGATTTGCTAAATCCTTTGCAGAATAAAACTACAGCTGCCCACTTTTAAATTTGCTGTTGGATTTACAAAATCAATGGCCTGCGTGGGGAGTCTGCAGCTGGAACGGCATCTTCACACCTCATCCTGCTGGCGGCCCGCGCGCCGTGGGCAAGCGGTCAGCCCGGAAGCCGAGCAGCTGCCCTGGGAGCCGGCTGCCAGGCTCTCCGGCTGCTCCTGCCACAGCTGGCCCTGCCAGGGGAGCCTCTGGACCTGCCCTCTGAGCTCGTGAATTAACATCTGAATAGATTCACTGCACTCAGGGAGCCCATGAAAATCCCGGAAGCTGTGGTGGTGTGCGGCACCAAGCCGCACCAAGCTAAGGGCCCTTGGCTTACCTGAACAAGGCCCAGAAGGAGGAACACTTTATAGGCCAGCCGCTTTCTGGGCTGACTGGCCCCAGGGTCCACACTGCTAGCCTTGGGTTCTCTGAGGGAGGGCTCCTTTGAGGTGGGGGCAGCCCGGTCCTGAGTATGCACAGGGTCAGCTTCTGTCGGGGCCGGCCAGTCCTCATCCTGTCCTGTTCTGTCTCACAGTTCTGGGGAAGATCCGGAGTGCCGTGGGGAGTGCCCAGTTGCTCATGTCCCAGAAGTTCCAGCAGTTTTATTGGCTCTGCCAGCAAAACATGGTGAGTGAACCTGCATGCATGGTCACTGGCAAGGCTGCGCTGGGCACGCCAGCGTCTCGCTGTATCTCCGAGACCACCCCAGAGACCAGAGACCTGCAACTCTAGCCCCAGGCCCCACAGCCCCAGCCCCAGGGAGCCCTCACTGCAGCTCAGTGAGCCACTGGGCCCAGGCCAGAAGTGGGAGTGGGGCTGAGAGTTTGGCCTTCTGCAGAGTAAGGAAGCTGGGCCTCAGCTACTGGATTCTCTCCCAGAAAACTTCAAACAAGGAGATGTCCTACCTGGACCAAGGTGACAAGTAAGCAAAAGCATCTGAGGCTGTGCAGAACAAAGAGACATAAACCACTCCGTGTAGAGAGACGAGACACTCAGAAACAATGAGGGCTTTCTGCTTTGTAGTCCCAGTGCCGACGTACGTACATCCCATGAACTGAATGTGTGATGTGGCAGGTGACAGGCGGGGCGTCGCTGCAGTCACTGGGCAGGGGCGTGCACGTGCACAGGCTGTGGTGTGCAGTGCATGCACACTGATCTGTGTGTGCATGGATGTGGACAGCAGTACATTCTGCACACCTGTCTTCATCAGCACACGCACACGTGTACGCTTTTCTTTGTCTGACTGAAAAAGTATTCACATAATTCCTTCAGAAATGGCCACGTATTAGGCATGGTTCTTTATAGGCAGTTTTGCAATCCATACACAGATTTTTTTTTCACACCACAGACTTTCAACAAAAGGTAAATACTGTCCTGGCATTGAAGGCAGACACTTTGGTTGTGTTTTTGTTGCTTGTTAATGTGCACAGACACAACACAGAACGCGGAGGTGCTCATCTGTGTGTCCTAAACTAGAATCACTGAAATGTGTGATTTCTCCAACATTTTCCTACTAGCCCATTAAAGCTCATCGTGAGACTTACAGTCACCAACAGATCACCTGTAGCATACAGTTTTATAGACATTTTGAAAAGGGATCAGAAGCTGGGTGCCAGTGGCTCTCACCTATAATCCCAGCTACTCAGGAGGCCGAGGTCTGAAAGTCATAGCTCAAAGCCAGCCCAAGCCGGAAAATCCGAGAGCCTCTTACCTCTTACCTCTAATTAACCACCAAAAAGCCGCAGTGACTCAAGTGGTAAACACTAGCCTTGAACACAAAACTCAGGGACAGTGCCCAGGTCCTGAGTTCCAGGCCTGGGACTGGCACATCAACAACTACAACAACAACAACAAACTAATCATCTTAATCTTGCTGGAGCATTGTGGCCACTCCCTCCTCTTTTACCTTCTCTCTGGGATTCTCGTTGGGGGGCAGGAAGAAGGGCTGAGAAGACCCAGGCGGGAGAGACCCATACTTTTTCCCTCAAGCCAGAGGTCCCCAGTCCACAGGCACGCTGCTAGCAGCTGCAAGTGTCCGGCAGGTGGCTAGGCTTTAAGTCAGAGGAATGGCCCTGGAAAGCGCCAGAGCCTTCCCGGGTGTCTTTGAGGTGCGGATGTGTGGGAGCTGCCCGGGGACTCACCGTCCGTACCCCGCACACCCCACGCGCCATGCCCGCAGCACGGCCCCAGTGGCTGCATGGAAAGAGCCTGCCCTCTAGTGGTTGAAAGGAGAACTGTGGCTCCCCTCTGGGGAGGAAATGAGCACGTCGGGCCGGTCACTGCAGCCCTGCTGACCCTCACACAGAGCTGGTGGACATCTGGTTGCTCAGGAGGGGAGGGGACAGCCCTAGAGGACGATATGGATGCCAGGCTAGGTTGAAGGAGTTGAAAGCCAAACGTAATTTCTCATCCCAGTCCGTGGGGACCGCTGGTCGCGAAGCTGGTGAGCCTCGTCAACCAAGGAGGAACTGGGGAGAGGGTGGTTTTCAGGGACAGAGTCCATCTTCGGGCCACTCTTTCCTGTGGCCGGCAGGCGGCAGCTACACACTGCCATGAGACCAGGGGGTCCCTTCAGGAGACGGCCCGCCCAGCACGCACACTGAAGCCACATCACCTTAGAACTGGAGCTAAGATCCAGGAGAGCAGCACAGACACCCAGGTGGCTGCGGCCGGGCTCTCCCCAGTGCTTCCTCCACCCCGCAGCCGCTGGTCCTGAGTACACACAGGGCCTGGTGCTGCTGGGCGCCTGGAGCCCGCCTCGCTGACCCCCCCCACACACACACACACTCCAAACGCAACAAGGAAGAGAGGCGCTGGGGGCCTGAGCCAACGGGCCGAGGGTGCGCAGCCCCACACCATGGGCGGCTGGCGGGTCTCCACACCACCTCTGGGGGCACCGCGGGAAGGCAGCCCCGAGTGTGCCCGTGTGTCTCCGCAGGACCCCAGTGCCATGCCCAGGCCGACGCCCCAGGACCTGGCCGGCTATTGGGACATGCTGCAGCTCTCTGTAGAGGACGTCAGCATGAAGTTCGACGAGCTACAGCAGCTGAAGCTCAGCGACTGGAAGGCAATGGACTCACCAGAAAGAAAGGTAACAGCGCCTGTGCGGGCCCACGGTCCAGGCCCACAGCCCCTGCCCAGCCCGTCCAGGCCCTCAGTCCCCTCCCGCGGTCCAGGCCCACAGTCCCTGCCCAGCCCACAGTCCAGGCCCACAGCCCCTGCCAGGCCCACGGTCCAGGCCTACGCCCCCACCCAACCCGTCCAAGCCCTCAGCCCCCACCCGCAGTCCAGGCCCACAGCCCCTGCCCAGCCCACGGTCCAGGCCCACAGCCCCCGCCCAGCCCATCCAGGCCCACAGCCCCCGCCCGGCCCACGGTCCAGGCCCACAGCCCCTGCCAGGCCCATGGTCCAGGCCCACAGCCCCCGCCCAGCCCACGGTCCAGGCCCTCAGCCCCCGCCAGGCCCGCAGTCCAGGCCTACGCCCCCACCCAGCCCTCCAAGCCCTCAGCCCCCACCCGCGGTCCAGGCCCACAGCCCCCACCAGGACCGCGGCCCAGGCCCACAGCCCCCGCCCAGCCCATCTAGGCCCACAGCCCCCGCCAGGCCCGTGGTCCAGGCCCACAGCCCCTGCCAGGCCCACGGTCCAGGCCCACAGCCCACGCCCGTGGTCCAGGCCCTCAGCCCCCGCCCGCGGTCCAGGCCCACAGTCCCTTCCCGGCTGGTCCAGGCCCACAGCCCCTGCCTGCGGTCCAGGCCCACAGCCCCCACCCGTGGTCCAGGCCCACAGCCCCTGCCTGCGGTCCAGGCCCACAGCCCCCGCCCGGCCGCAGCAGCAGCTGCTCCAGATGCCGCCATCACTGCAGGAGTCCAGGGCCGTCGCTAGCAGGGCAGGCTCAGACCTTCGCTACCTGTGTGCCCTGGGCATGCGCGGATGAGGGTGGACAGCGTGTGCCCGGGGGAGGGGGGCGTGCATGTGCGCAGACAGGTAGGAGCGCGGTCATGTGACCCGCAGCGTCCTCCTCACCCAGCCACTGACCGAATCTGCCACGTCTGTAGTGTAATCGCTAACAGAGACGGATGCTCTGAGCCCCTCTTATCCCCTGACACTGGTTAGAGCTGCATGAAGGACAATTGCTCTCCTGCACAGGAGTGCTAGGTCTGGCCACCATGAGCGTTGCCGGCTGTGTGTCAGGAGTCAGAGACGACACAGCATTTGGGCTCGGTCGCTTGGCTTGGGGGGCCCTCTCCAGGGACTTCAGCCCAGCCTTCCGTGGGCAGCGAGTGAGCCCTGGGCTCGGCCTGGCGCCCTTCACACCGATGTCACTCTCACAGTGCTAGAGGACAGCTCTGCGTCAGCAGTGCGAGACACGCTCACCTTGTATCCCTAGACAGACACTATCCAGTAACAAACACACAGCTGTAAAGCAGAGACCCGCAAAGATAGAAAGAAAGCCAATGTGCATTGTCACCAGCCACAAAGGTCACCATCCCAAAAGGTGCTGCCGGCAGCTGGTAGGGCTGCAGGTCAGCAGCCATCAATGCCACTGAGGAAGGGACCATGGTGACGGAGCAGGGAGGGAAGGCACGGGAGGCCAGGAAGCCCAAGGAGACAGAAGCACGTCTCACACCCATGGCTTCGTGGGGGCAAAGGGTAGGACCTGTGACCTCAGTGGAAAGTTTCCTCAGATGGAACTCCGAGGTAGAGCTCTCCCAACGAGCCGTGTGCATGCTGCAACCTCCCACGCCGCCATGGCTGAGAGCTCACAGGAGCCCGGCCTCCGGCTGCGCAGAGGAACGGAGACTCACCACCCTCCGTGCACGGAGCCGCGGGTCCTGTTCTAAAGACAGCCCGCGCCTTCTGAGCACTGCTGGGGTTTGGGTCCTGGCCTCCCCTCCTCAGCCACAGTCTGCCGGCATGTTTTCAAGCCCATTGATAAGGGAACTCTCTCTCTCACACACACACACACACACCACTAGCTGCATACACTTCTCACTCATGCTGTTCCCAGCACTGAGATCACCAAAGGCCTGTGACAGACTCACGGCGAAGGGAGAAGACACGGGCAGGGGCTGCACACGCCCCTTCGGGGGGAGAGCCTCTGCCCTTCCACCCATGCCCCTCCCGGGAGGAAACCACAGCACGGCAGAGCACTGTGGCGGGGCCTGCCAGTCTGCCTGTCAGGAGCGCGTGTGAGTGACACCACACATCTGCAAGCGTTTGTTGCAGAACTGTGACGTTTATCCTTCTGACGCAGGCATATGTGTATTTGGAATGACTTATTTGAGAATCCAAACTAAAGATCAGAAAAGTTGTTTGCATCTTTTCTACCAAGCAAACAGAATCTCTGTGTGTGTATGTGTGTGTACGTGCGTGCGTGAGTGTGCATCCATCTTTAGTATCCGCTGGGTTTCAGGTCAGGATTTGGCCTGGGGCTCCCTGGGCTGTCTGCTTGTGTGTGATCATCTTCAGTGATTAGAGAGCCCAGTGCACCTTACCACCCCGCCCCAGGACACGGCCAGGGTGCAGGGGTGCATGGATGAGGGCTTCAGGAACAATGCTGCGGTGACACCACGGCTACAGAATTGCTCCCCTCACCCCGGTCTCTCCTGCCTCCTCGGAAGAGTTTTAGGTTTTTGAGAAAGGCATGCTCCACATAACAGGCAACACTGTTAGGAGCCAGAGGGACTTAGAAGACGGCCGGGGCCTCGGGCACCAGAGGTCCCAAGCACCGCCTGGCGAGTGCTCGCTCTGACCTCCATTCTGGCTTGTGATCCTTTTCAGGAAGAGAGGAAGGTCCCCCCTCCGATACCAAAGAAGCCCCCCAAGGGGAAATTTCCCATCACGAGGGAGAAGTCCCTGGACCTACCAGACCGACAGCGCCAGGAAGCCAGGAGACGGCTCATGGCCGCCAAGAGGGCCGCCTCCTTCCGCCAGAACTCCGCCACGGAGCGGGCGGACAGCATCGAGATCTACATCCCCGAGGCCCAGACGCGGCTCTGAGGACAGCAGGCCCCACACAGCTGGCTCTGTTCTTGTTCACAGGACAATTGTACAGTTTGTTGCCTTCCTGGTAGTTTTTGTCTCATTCCCTCCGCCAAAATACGCCCCGTCCCGTGTTCTGCACCTCGGGCACCGTGGACGCTCCAGACCTCCGCGTGCTGTCCCCGACGGCTGACCGCGGCCGGCTGCGACGGGCAGGCTTTGTCCTCAGAGGGCCAGGCAACGCCTCTTGAGATGGACCCCAGCTGACACTTTGTTATTTATATTTTTATAAACTGTGAGATGACTAGAGGTAAGAATAACAAATAACCACACACGGGTGCATCTCACCACTCCCAAGAGGCATTAGACAGCCCAAGCGGAAGGTGCTACAACTTGAAGGGCAGGGGAGACAGCCCGTCGCGCCTCTGACCTCCAGCCTCCTTTCCCCCGACTCCAGCTGGCCCTGCCCACCCATCCTGGCCCTCCGTGTGGCTACAGCAAGCACCCGGCTCCTTGTATGGAGCTCATGGCGATGAGAAGGGTCTCGTAACCTCCAGACTCCGCACTCAGTGGTCCTCCAAGCCAGGGAGATGCCGGGCCGAACCCTCCAGAGTCACCCAGCACAGCATCTGCTCTTTGAAAAGTGATCTGGGAGGAGTCGTCTGGAACCTGGGAAAGCCTGGAGTTCAAATGTAGACGGACAAGCTGTCCAGGTCCATGACAAGGTCATTGATTCTCATGATCCCATTGTGACTTAAAACATCACACATAGCATTTTTGTTAAATTCTCCATTTATGCTCCATGTGATTTTTTTTAATGTGTGTCGCATACATTCTCAGACTGCTCTATCAGTTGACTTTTCAGGGTATCCTCCTATAAAAAAAAAACAACGAAGAAAAGAAGGGTTGCTTGTTGAAAATGACCATTGTGATGTTGTATAAGTATAAAACATGAATGTGAGTGGTAAGTATATCTCAGCTGAAATGGGAAAGAAGATAATGCAGTTTATACCGTATTTTTCCAGAATTCTTTTGTCCTATGCAGTACTGCTAAAGTGAACAATATATTTCCCGTCTGGGTTAGACATGAAGGAGGGAAAAAAGCTCACATCTGGTAATCTCCAGCTGTGGAATGTTAAAAAGTAATTCGTGTTCATGACTCTGGAGGGCAGCAGGGAAAGAGAAACAGCTCTTCTCAGCAGGGGTCCCCCGCATAGCTACATTTACAGGACTTCCGTATCCGCAGCCCTGGCACCTGCCCAGGAAGAGGCTGTGAGGTCCCTGCGGGCCTGGCCCCGAGGCCCCGTCCTCCTCGTGGCCCCGCAGGATCAGAGGGGTCTGCATGCCAGGTCTTCCTTCTTGCTGCTTTAAGGAACACGATGTACGTAGCCATAGGCGGAAAGCTCCCCACAGCCCCTTAGCACTTTGTTTTCTCTCTTGATTCGCACTTTAAGATGTACCCAGGCCAGGGAGGGACAGGCCTTCCTCATAGCTAACCCCACCATGCATGGGCCCCGGGGCGCGGCTGGTGTTGATATTGCAGCATGTCGAGCTTCGAAGTTTTACTTTTTTAAAGCTGAGTAGTTACGATTTCCCTGTTATAATCCCTATAAATTGAGCCTCATACCTGGTATATATTTTACCAAACAGCCTTAAAATATATTTGGAAGCAAAAATCATACGAATGTATATCCTTAAAAAATGCAAAAAAAATCCCCTGAATTATTCTTCTATAACTGAATCCTATTTCCCCAGAGTGTCCAAAGCATTTTTCTATCTGAATAAACACCTAAATCCTAAACAACTTACACTACGACACTCCTTCCTGTATTCGCTCCACTGTGTTAAAAGCAAGTATATTTGTAAGCATTGGCATTTTAGACTTTGAAAACGATGTGTTATTTAAAAGGAAATCTTACGTAGAAGTAGCCACAGGCAAGCAGAACCAGTATTAATTATCGGTAAGGAATACAAGGTGCACATGCGTGCTGGCAACCATCCTGTGCTTCCTGGCAGCTGATGTGTTGTGTCTCATCTCCTTAGACACAAAACACATAGAAGCAAATTGTAAAATGAGACAATAATCACTCAGACCTCAGAGTCTATGATTCCAACTTGAATGAAGTATCCACCGGATTTGAATTCATTTTTTTATGTTTTGTATACTCAGTTTTGTTTTTTAAGATCCCCAAAGCCTTGGCCTAAGCCATCCCTCTGAGAACAAGTTCCTCTGCTAACCACGAAGCTGCACTGTCCGTCCTGACTTGAAGTGGAGAATGTGCCCCTGTTGTCCCTAAGTTCCAAAGAAGACTGTGGAGAGCATAGCAGCAGCGCTGGGCGGCAGAATGCACCTGCCTGCGATCCCCCCTCCGGCGGCGCGGTCGGCCCCAGCGGCAGCGCTGTCCTGGACAAGAAGCTGAGTCGTGTTTACCTGCCACGCCTGTGCTCACGCACTGCCACCCCCGCTGGTGCGGTGTGGGGCGCGTACGGCGTCCCCCGTCACGCTTAAAAGACGACTTGAATGACAGACTGTGAGTAGACTTGAGAACCAGCTGCTGTCCTGCGCGGTGCCGAGTAACGCCCACGGTGCTGCTCCAGCCGAGGCTGGTGACCGCGGAGACGCCGGCCGGGACCGCACCGGAACTGCCCTCCCAGCCCACCGGGCTCCTCCGGCAGGGCCTGGCAGGGTGCCGCCGC